CTATTTTTAATACAATACAAATTATGAAAATATTTTTCTTCAGCTTCTCTAGATTTTTTAATAAAATAGCGTCATTGTACAGTTTGCGATTTATCATCATAAAACCATTATTATAAAACTATTGTTAATATTATTATTAGTAGTAATGTCAACAATGATTGGATGATTACTCGTAAATATCTATACAATTTTAAAAGAAATATCTATGAAAACCTAAAAAATGAGGCTCAAAGATGAAAATACATAATAGTCTATGTCATTTTTCCACTATAATATTTCGACATGTTTAAAAATTGCATTAAGATTCACATGTGATGATGTTACCTACTATAGACAAAAAAGTAAAGTATATATTTATATATATTTGAAAATATTTATATTTTTGAATATTTTTATTTGTTTAGTTGCTTATATATTTTAATTAGACTTAATCGTTCGTCATTTCTGCCTTGCAAGAATTCGTTATGTTTAAAAATTGCATTAAAATTAATAAGTACGTTGTAACGTTACCCACTATCTAAAAAGAAAATATTAAATTATTAAAATATTAAAAAGTTTGCATTTAGTTAATACAATTAAATGTTAATACAATTAAAAACATCAATCACTTACTGAGGCAAAAAGTGACGCATCCACAGTAAAAACCTTAGTGGAAAATATGTTACTGCGATGCAATATATGCAAGGAAAACAGCTTCAACTATAATGTCCGATTACACAATAATTAAATATAGGATTAGATAAACCCAACAATTTTTGTTCAATGTATAAGTATATTGGACATATATAAGCATTGGTTTATGAAAAAATTATGTTAAATGTTTTAATACCTCATCTTTGATTTGTTTATCACTGGTGCAATTAAGTACGTCATGAACGGAAGTGCCGATTTCTGAAGCTTGTTTTTTGCCACTTTCGCAAGCCCAAATTATTAATATTATCTTTGTAAAAAAGAACAGCATGGACAGAACAAGATATATGTAAAAGACCTGTTTTTTAACAGGCATTATTATCACAATTTCTCGTTGCGCCAGTATGTAATAGTATAAGTGAAAAGTGATGTCAGCAAAAGTCATAATTATAGTTGCGATAAGCTGTAGACTAAAATTCATATTCACTATCTGTACTGTATCGCTAATCATGAGATATTGCTTTTGCAAGGTCTTGAGCTTCTGCAGCAGCAGAGAATTTCTCTGGTCGTGATTGATCAATCCCAAGTGATGGGTTGTATTATTAACCACGAGCATTTGCATATTTACCAAATTGTCATTTATTCTCTCGAAGCATGCTTTTAATAGACAAACACAATTAATGTACATCATATTTATTTGATATACTACTAGGTTAATATGTATTACGGAAAACGTGAGAAAGATATCAGAATTTATAAAAATTGATGTTGAAATTAAAAATATATAAATGGCACCAAATATATCTTTGGCGTGGATCAACCAGGACAACTTTCGATACGATTCCATGGGAAGTCTTGATGAGATCTTCGCTATGGTCTGAAGTAAACGCATTCGTGGATCACTCAAAATATGCGTGACTACTGCTATGAAACTGCTGAGTGCGTAGTAGAAACTAATTTCGATATTTTTGGGCATGTCTGTCATGTCCATTCTACTAGAAGTGTTCAAGTCATATATCATTATCAATACGCGAATACAACAAACGTACACAATGATGGTCGATACAATAAATAATGGTTTGGACAACTTGAAAGTTGTATTATTCATTCTATACGGAAATATTCCCAGAATGCGGCACAAGATGAAGCAAGGATACATCAAAGAATGAAAATCCGTAGCGTGAAACAGCCACCAGTTTTTCACCATTTTGCTTTCAGCTCGTTTTTAAATTTTCGATGAATAATTGAACATGTCCAAATATTATGGAGAATTTCAATCTAAATCATAGAATTATACAATCTAAATTTAGCAATATATTTTAGCACTAATGCATTTCTCTACACTTAATCTTTAAATTTGTCTCTTAACAAATATAATTTTCATTGTCGCTTGACACCTGGCAAGTTTAACTTTAAAACTGCGAACAATTGCTGTATTGAGCAACTAAAAGGTTTTGTTACTCTTTAGGTAACCATGACGCTTCAATTACTACGTGTCTCTCTTGAGATACAATATATATTGATAATGATGCAGTTATTGTATGCAAATGTAAAATAAAAAATATTGATGTTATAATATCTATATCAGTAATTTAAAAATTCTTTAATGTTTTTATTAATAGTAATAGTAGTAGAGGATGAAGTGAGACTAAAGTAAAGTCTCTACATCTATGATGTTTCTCCGTGATTCTATTGGTTTTAAAAGTAAAGTTGATAATCCCAGTTTAGTGTTGAGTACAATTATGAGACTCATTTTCTTTTTCTTTAGGTCTTTAGATTGAAAATCGTGCACTAAAGAAATCACACATTTTGATATCGATTTATTTACAAATGGGGCAAAGATTTCATAAATATTATTTGTTTAAATAACAACATATAATTTTTTTTATAATGTAATCCCTTTAGTCAGTTTGTATATAAAAATATTAAAAAGAGGTTATCATGAATTTTAAATCTACAAAACGTTTTTTATTTTATTTTATAATTCGAATATTCTATTCATAATTCAATATAAAACATATAATATTCTGTAGCTATTTATTTCTTAAAAATATATGGAATGCGGAGTGTCTTTTGAAATTGTGGTATAAAGTTAAGAGAAGAATCTTATTGGTCTTCAAATTTTATATTATAGATCTTCTCTTATAGATTTATCTTAAAAAGAATTAAAAAATATAATCAAAATTTATAATGTCGTTAATGTAATAAAAAAATTATAATTTCGATCAAAATTTAAAGCTCTTTAATATGCATCCGAATGTGGTGTATTCATTGCATATTCTGCTTGCACATTCCGCTGTATAAATAAATTATCACTAATAATTCCAAAACAAATCATAAGACATTATCAAAAATTATATTTGAAATATTCAGTATACATGTTTGTTTGAAATATATAATCCAAATTTTATTATGAATAATATTTAAAAAAAAATAATTTTTTTATGTTTGCATTCTATTCACTGTTAAATTTTTTTAATTGTTATTGAGACAAAGCTTATTTTGTCTTTCATTTGTATTTATGTTATTAAATTGTTACTTGAATAAAACATGTATTATATATATTATGCACTTAATTTTCTTTTGTGGATTTAAGATTATATTGACTTACATTATAATAGATTTATATATATATATATATAATTTTATAATAACAATAACAATATATTTTTAATAAATCCAAAGTGACATATTTTACAAGCTTATTTATTATAATCTAAGAATATACATAAAAAAGCAAAATATAATAGATTTTTGCTATTTTATATTAAAATGTATGCCATTTCTTCAACATTTTCTCTCAGTATTCATATATTATATGTATATTTATGTTTATATGTATACATTATATACATATATATTTTTATATATGTATATATTTGCCTAATATTAAAAAGAGTACACATAATATTTCAAAATATACGTATTTAATCAATTTTTAATCAATTTTTAAATTTATTTTAATAATAATCTTTATTAATTTTTTGTTTATGTAACATGGTTTTTAATTTTTTCATTGCAAGAGTGTTCGGCAATTAAAAATTGTACCAAAATTAATAGATATGTAGTAATATTACCCACCATCTACAATTAAAATCATAAATATAAACAATACTTAATTAATTAAAGCAAATAGTCAATTACTTACCGCAGTAAGAAGCATTGCATCAATTATTAAACCTTTTGTAGAGAATATATTTTTGCGATGCAATATTTGCAAAGAAAACTGCTGCAACTGTGAAAAATTACATTACAGATTTAAATACAAAGTAAAGAATATATTAATAAACAAAATAATTTAAAAAAACAGTTAAGTTTTAATATTTTAATTACCTCATTTTTTATTTGCTCATCTGTAATACTGTTGAGCACTTTGTGAACAGTACTGCCAATTTTCATAGCTTCATCCATGCCAGTCTCACAAGTCCATCCTATTAATATTATTTTTATGCAATAATATATGACAGATATAATCAACATTATATCATAGAACTGGTGGTTCAAGTTGCTTAATATCATCTCAACCTTCCAATGCACTATACCATAGTATAATAGAAAAGTAATCTGGACGAAAGTCAAAATTATGGTAGCAAGGAGATGCAGACTGAAAACCTTGTTTAACATCTGTACCGTCTCGCTAATCATTAAATGTTGATCTCTCAAAGTTTTGATTTCTGTCAGCAAAAATGAATTTTTTTGCTTATGATAGGTCTGCCTCGAAAGACGCGGTTCATCATTTACCATCAGCTCTTGCAGATTTGTCAGATTTTTATTAATTTCCTTGAAACAGGCTTTTAATACACAAACACAATTTACATATAGCATATCCATCTGAAATACCAACAAGACGAAATACGACTCGAGTAAATAATCCATATCTATCATGATATAATATAATGACACTTGCGCAATTAAAAAAAGAAAACCAAAAATATCTTTAGCATGGATTATTGTAGACAATTTTTGATACAATTCAGGAGGCAATCTCGAAGATATTTTCATTATGCTTTGGAGCAAGTGCATTCGTGGACCACTCGTAACGTATGTAACAATCGCAGAGAAACCACTAAGTATGTAAAAAATGTTATTTTCAAGAGTTTCAGGTACACTTTTGTATTTTATTGTTTTACTAATATCAATCATATAGAGCACTATCAACTCGTAAATGCAAAATACACATATTATTACGGTAGACAGAATGTAACGCTGTTTGGAATTTTCGAAAGTTGAACCATTGATTTTGTATGGAAATATTCCGAGAATATTACATAAGATGAAGCAAGGATACATTAACGATTGAAAATCTGTTGCATGAAATAGTTTCCATTTTCTCCACTCGTACTTAGCACGTTCTCGGAACTTTGATAATAGACAGAACATTATCAGTAGAATTCATATACAACAGTTTATAGAGTACACCATTAAAAAATTATTCTCATAGCATGTTAGCATTAATGTCAGTTTTACTATAAAAAATTTTTCTATTTATAACAAATATATAATACGGATTCTTCGTTTCTCTTAATCTGACAAGTTTCAGTTCAAGACTGCGAGCGATTTTAATTTCGAAACTATACTTAAGAATTCAGGTGTTAGTCATAATGTAACCATGGTGCTCTTCGATCGGCAATTATCTTTTCTTAGAGTCTAGAATAAATGGAATAGAGTATAATTGCTGCAACCTGTTATTATGAATAATATAGCATCAAAAATAAAATGAAGGATTAATTTCTTTTTTATTTCGTTTTTTATTTATTACATATCAGTTAATAAGATACTAAAATCATTCTTAAACAAAATCTAATATGTTATTCCTAAAGAAATTCTGAAACTTTAATTAAATAATTTCTTATGCAAAAATAGATTTAAAATGATTCTGATTTAATGATATGTAAATTAATAATGTATTAAACTAATTTTACTTTAACTTACTCTAACTTATTAATTTTTTTATATATTTTATAATGTTTGATATAATTCTTTATGTAAAATTTTAGTTAACAATTCATTATTTCAATTAAAGTCATCTAATAGTAAGATCATCTATATTATCTTACACATTTCATACACATTATATAATTAATTATAATCATAATTGTATAAAATTTTGTAAGTTTATTAAAACATAATAAATTAAACTTAATTCTTTTACATAACTTAATTCTTTTACATTTCGTATCAATATATTTGAAAATTATGCTGGTTTGAAAAACAATGATATTGATGTAAAAGTATATGCATATAGTATATAATGTGATGATAAAATTAATTGTAAGAATAATGTTATTGATTAGGATTAATCTAACTATTTATCTAAAGAGTTAAAATTTATCTATGCAATCTTTTTCATGAAATTTTTAGCGTTTGTTTATATATCTATATTATCTAAACTACTTATTACTATATATAAGATGGTTAAAATTCAAAGATATTATTTTTTTATAGCATATAATGAAAAATATAAGCAGAAAGCATCAATATTATCATGACAATTTATCGATAACATTTTTTAACAGAATTTCGTATAATCATCTTTAACAAAAAAAACTCGAAAAATAAGAAAATATTTAACAAGTTGTTTCAGCGGTTCTTAAAATTTTATTAAGTATTATATAATATATATTATATAATATAATATTTTTAAGAAATTTATTTTTTTATATTTATTGAACTATTTATTGCTATAATTTTTACTAATTGCTATCATATTGAAATAAAGCTTAATTTTATTTTTTATTTGAATCTATATTATTAAATACTATTTGAATGGAATGTATATTATATACTTTACTCTTTTTCTCTATGTATTTATAATTATACTAGCTTAATATAATATTATAACTTATTATTATGGTTATTATAATAGATTTATATGATCTTAATAATAAAAAAGACAGTAACAATTATTTAATGAGATCAAAACAACATTAATAGCATTTTACAGGCTTATTTATTATAATTTATGAATACACATAAGAAAACAAAATATATTAGATTTTTGCTACTTAACCTTAACATATAAAAGTTTATCTCCGTATTTTTACATATATTTTTATGTATGCATATATTTCGTAGATGTTAAACAGAGAGAGATTTAAAAATATATTTATTTAATTAATTTTATATAATGATTTTTTTTAACTTTTTTTCTTATGTAACATAATTTGCAAATTTTTCATTGCAAGAGTGTTCGGTAATTAAAAATTGTACTAAAATTAATATGTAGTAATATTACCCATTATCTACAATTGAAATCATAGATAGAAACAACACATATTATAATTAATTGAAGCAAATAATCCACCGCAGTAAGAAACGTATCAATTAAACTTTTTGTAGAGAATGTAATTTTGCGATGCAATATTTGCAAAGAAAACAGCTGTAACTGTAAAAAAATTACATTACAAATTTAAATACATGCAAAGAATATATTAATAAATAAATTAATTTTAGAAAAACAGACAGTTAAATTTTAATATTTCAATTACCTCTCATCTTTTATTTGTTTATCCGTAATACTGTTTTGCACTTTGTGAACACTATTACCGAGTTTTATAGCTTCATTCATGCCAGTCTCATAAGCCCATCCTATTAACATTATTTTTATACAATAATATATGACAGTTATAACCCAACAATATACAACTGGTGGTTCAAATTGCTTAATAACATCTTGACTTTCAAATGCACTATATGGTAGTACAATATAAAAGTAATCTCGACGAAAGTCAAAATTATGAGTAGTAAGGAGAGGTAGACTGAAAATCGTATTAAGCATCTGCACTGCCTCGCTGATCATCAGTTGTTGTTCTTTCAAAGTCTTGATTTCTGTCAGCAAAAATGAATTTTTATGCCTATGATAGGTCTGTCTCGAAAGATAAGATTCGTCATTTACCATCAGCTCTTATAGACTCAGATTTATATTAATTTCCTTAAAACAGACTTTTAATACATAAACGCAGTTTATATATAGCATATCCATCTGAAATACCAACAAGATGAAATACAGCACAAAAAACTCCTTTAAATTACCATACACCACGAAGATGTGATATAATGACATGTGTCCAACTAAAAAAAACAAGCCAAAAATATCTTTAGTGGATCATTATAGACAATTTTCGATACGATTCGGGTGGCAATTTCGAAGAAGTTTTCATTATGGTTTGGAGCAGGTGCATCTGTGGACCACTTGAAATGAGCACAACAACCACAACTGTTAAGTGTGTAAAAAAATGTTATTTTCAAGAGTTGCAGATAGATTTCTATACTTGAAGAGTTTGATCATAATGTCAATGGTAGAGCACTACTAACTCATAAATGCAAAATATACACATTATAACAGTAGACAGAATGTAGCGCTGTTTGCAAATTTCGAAAATTTAACCATTGATTTTGTACGGAAATATTCCGAAAATATTATACAGAAGGTGAAGCAAGGATACATTAAGGATTGAAAATCCATTGCATGGAATAGTTTCTACACGTTACACTTGACACGTTCTTGGAACTTTAATAATAGATAAAACATTATCAGAATTCGAATATAACAACTTATATCATAGATTACTCTTCCCGAAAATAATTAATCACTGATTAAACATTAATGGATTTTTGGACTATTAAAGTTCTTTCTTTTTATAATAGATGTATTATATAAGATGGAATCTTCGTCTCTACGTCTATACATCAAATTTCAACTGAAAACTGCAAACGGTTTCGATATTGAAACACTACTTAAGGTAGTCATAAAATAATCATAATGCTCTTCGATCGGCAATTATTTTCCTTAATGTCTAGGACAAATGGAATAAAATATAATTGCTACAATTAATGGTTATTATAATTATTATAGTTAATATGACATTAACCAAATAAAAAATTAATTTTCTTTATATCGGTGTTACTAAACTTGGGATTATTCTGGAACAAAATCTGATATTATTTCGAAAAAAATTCTCAAACTGTATTTAAACAATTTCTTATTATTTTTATATTAAAAATAGATTCAAAATAATTTAAAATAAATTTATTGATATATGTGTGAATGTGTGTATGTGCACGCGACACACACACACACACGCGCGCGCGCGCGCACACATACATATATATACATATATACATATAATATATTAAATTAATTGGAATAGCAGTTAAATTATTTAAAAAGAAATATTTTTAATAGGCATATTTATTATACTTTAAGAAGAGATACGCGAATAATAATGAATTAATAATAATGAAATAAAATATATTTATGTTATGATTTAGTTTTATACTTAAAAGTTAACATATATATGTAATAATGCTTTGTGTTCATATATATATATATATATATATATATACATATACTATTATTTATA